CAGTATTCATTGAAGCTGGCTTGGTAGGAGAGATTCTTTCAATAGCCGTTCTGTGTTAGCCAAGTCTTTTGCTTTGAACAAAATTAATTCATTTCAGAACTTTTTGGCAAGAGATATTTAAAAAGTAGAATTTCTAGACTGGGATAGCAAATTTTTTGAGAAGCACATTTTAAACTTGAATAGTAGGTGTTATTTTTAAAATCATCTCCAACAGAAGACAAGCCCTGATATAGTTCCCTGTACCAGAGAAATGTCCTCCATGACAGGAAAGAGGAAGTAGTAGAGAAAGATCACTAAATTCTGATGTGTTTTTATGACTAGTACTAAGCCATTCAGTCTTGCTGGGATGTGCCAGGGAATTCTAGGAAATCTGTCAGTTGCTGTAGAAACTTGTTCCTCAAAACTAGTTTTTAATGTCTCATTTTCTTGGTGTATGTGTTTACATGCAGCCTTTGTAGTATAATGATCTCATATCAGAAGAGATATATTTACGTATCATATATAGGTATATAAAGTACATGATTGTGCAATATGAATATGTATCCAGTATATGCAGTTATTTTTTTTTTCTTGTTTCTAAAAAAAAAGCTCACTCTTTTGCACTATAGTGAGACCAACACTTCCAGTGAAATCTAGCGCTTCCCATCACTTAGGGTTGTTCAGTCGTTCCTTGGGCTTTGTGTGCAAGCTTTGTGCCCAGTAAACATGCACGTTAAGCATCCAGTATATTTAGAGTGATATGTCTTCCTCGTGTGGCCTGAGTCATTATGGCACTGAAGGTCCTGACATCAGGGAGAAGAGGTGGTTAAACTTGTACTGGTGACTGACAAACAATGCTCTAGGTTTTCCCTAGAGAAGCCATTTAATTCAAAATAATATTAGTCTTTAGAGTTTTGTTGCTTGGTGATTTCTTGGCTCTTGCTTTGCATTCCTGTCTGCGGGCTGTGCCTAAGGGTGAAAGAGTGCTTTGCATCTTGCGTGAGGATGAAGGTTCCCTTTGTGATCAGCACAGCAGTATGGTAAGAATAAGTCAAAAGTGATACACATGTGAAATAGTGTAATATTCGCTTTTGAAGAAAACCAACGTGTTTCTTGAAAACAGACGAAAATGTATTGCTTTGTTTGAGATGATGATGGTGTACATAATATAAATATCCAGAGATAGCAGATAAAAGGTAAGACATTTAAAAATAGCTTTATGATGTGTGTCAGTTAAGGCCAACACCACTAAAGTTAATTGTAGTCTGACGTTAGATCAAGTTTCATCAAAAAGGCAGAAGAACTGGTTTAAAAAAAATAAAAATCACATGCACGTGTCATATTCTGCTTTGTTTATTTTCTTCTTATTTAAACACCTTTCCGTTGCTTATCTTTTCCTAGGTGCCACTTACAGAAGCAGTGGAACCAGTTGATTTGGAAGACTACCTTGTTACCCACCCAATTGCGGTAGAGTCTGGCCCCCTGAGAGACTTGCTTGAATTTCCTCCAGATGACATTGAGGTCGTGTATACCCCCCGGGAATGTCGGACCCTTGTGTCGGCTGTACCTGAGGAGAGGTAGGAGGCAAAAGGGAGACATCTTGCACAAAAGAGCAAGTTGTTCTGGATTTGAGTGTCTACAGGGCTGAAGGATAGACTCTTTTTCCGTAAATGTCTGAAAGAATAAATGCAGTCTTAAGTTAAAAGTCTATGTGTTTAAGAAGACAGTATGTTGTCTGTGATTTTGAAGATATTTGCTTTCATTCTTTTAACAGTGAGATGGACCCTCATGTGAGGGATTGTGTAAGAAGTTACACAGAAGACTGGGCGATTGTGAACAGAAAGTGAGTTCTCCTGTGATATTTGTCATCTTGATTTCAGATTTAAATTTTTGCAGGTTGGCTAGCTGGTATGAGGAAGCTCAGAAATGGTTGTCCTGGCTACTGATTTCATGTGCCTTGCTTTCAGTTGCCCAGCTCAGCTGAAATGATGCTTTCTGTTTAGCGGAAATGATGCTTTCTGTTTTGACTATTAGATCTCATAGATGTCAAAACCCCTTGGGGCATTTTTGAAAATCTAGGCCATTTTAATCAGCAGTAGCTCCTTTAGAATAGTCAGGAAATTAGGGAATGTAAATAAGTAAAATTACTCCCAGAATTTGTTTCTTTTTCTTTCTTCCATGGATTTTTATTTCTTTTTAGAAAAAAGATCTAATAATTTTGTAAAGATGTAACATTCATGTGCAGACACGAGCGTCTGACAGTTAGTGTGTCCTCAGCAGCATTCATTTGTTCCCAAAGAGACTTTGAGAAAGTGCATCACTTCAGAAATGATTGTTAATGTTTAAACTATCACAACATTTAGCTAATGAGTTTTCTGTTTAGAGAGCATGCATGCATTGATTAATTTATGCAAATTAGCAGGAAAGTTTCTGAGTAGCTTTATTTTGAACATACGCTCTCTCAGATGATTGAAAGTCTGATGACTTCAAGAACTGCTGTCACGGAGTAAGTGATCCATGTGATGTGCATCGCCTAAAAATGACTTGACTATAGCTACAGCTCTGCCCTTGTGGCAGTTGCTACAATTCACTGGTTTAATGTTGTCCCGAGCACCACTCCATGGGATGCTGAAGATATGCTTTGCAGTGCTAAGATGACCTAATAAAAATGTGGTTTGTAATCTCATACCAAAAAGAAATGAGAGAGAGAGAGAGTGCAAGAGAGAAAGATGCTTTATTAACTCCCAGCCTTTGTAGGCAGAGTCTAGACTATGCAGTAGACTTGGACAGCATGACCCACTTAGCCGGCACAGTTCTCAGTTTCTCAGTGACTTTCATTGTGTTCTGGTATCTAGAATATCTGGCTGTGATTCTTGCATTAAGGAGGGTTAGCTGGAGAGAATAAGGCTTTCTGTCCTGTACTAGTCAGCTCTGAGGCTGTGTTTTGTGTCAGCTAAGGCATGCAGGTAAAGCCATCAAAGTTGCCTGAGCAGGTGGGGGGTGTGCTGAGCACTACACTGAAAGGTTATCTTCTCCCTTCAGAAGAGAAGAGGCACTTGTGGCAACAGTCACTACAGTTTTGACTTGGACAAAATCATGGCAGTGGACTGGGGAGGGGAAGAAGGGGTAATGCTGGGGTG